GAAAGAGAAATCTTTTTGTGTTTAAATCACCTGTCCAAAAGGGTGATATTCTTCACTGATGCCAGGCCATACAGCAGCTTTTCTTTTTCTTGGGCTAATGATGTTTCTTGGTATTTCTGGAACATATAATCCCATGATGTCTCATTGCCTGAGTTCTCCATCCCGTAACGATATACTGTGAGTCGGAGATTTGGAGCAATACTAAAATACAGAAACAGTACTTCAATATTCTCCCGTTTCCCACTTGAGATCAGTGACCAAGTCACATGCTGTGTTCTTCAGCAGCCACAAAAGCTGTGAGCACTCACGTTTCTCCTCGTTGCCATTGCTCAAATAGTTGAGAAGCATTGTTCAAAGATTCTGTGTCACCCATACTGCAGGCAAAGTCTAGAACAGACGCACGAAGAAGCCTTGAAAAGACAGAGAGATGGGGAAAGAGAGACATTTTCCTACTGCTTACCATTCTTTGAATCTTTCAATAATGTGAGAAGGAAAAAATAAAAGTTGTTCTACCTCTCCAAATGGCCTCCAGAATCATTCCAGCTCAGTTGATCCACAATGGGTTTTACCAGGTAGCCAAAATATTTCTGAGATAGAAAAATGAGGTTGGTTACTTATGTAGGTTCTTTAAATAGTAATATATTTGTGCTTATACTTTATTCTCCTACATTTTCTTCAGAACTCGCATCTCTTAAAGAAAAAGTAACATGAACAGGTGCACACACAACCTTTCCAGATCCCCACAGCATGCCAAAACTGAATGCTGGCAATACTGATGCCCAGATAGGACAAAGCCTACCTGCTTCTCTCCAACCTTGTCTGTGCTCCCAAATGAAGGCTGAGGTACAGCAAGAGCACACTGTCACCACTGTTTTCCATAGATGATGCCGAGCTTAGGGCTTATTTATTTTAGTGACCATTAAATCATGTTCAGTATTTTAGGTCAACTAACAAACCTGCTCACTGCCACATTGAGATACAGCCATGCTGTGTGGTGAGGACAAGTGTCAGAGATTTTGCTGTCCTATACATACTTGTTTATGGAATGCAGGACTGCCTTGACTAATAAATGTCTGTACTGAGCCTTATGGTGATGGATTATAAGAATTATTAGGCATAATTTCTTTTCTCCAAGTGCATAGTCCTGAATGCAGAACCCAGATAATTCAAACATCACTACAGAGCAGATTTTAGCCCTTTTTTTGTTAAGAGTACAGAAAAAAAGCAAATACTGATAGTTCAGCAATACTGAAAAGTCACTTGAACTTCAATATTATTACTGTTACAGATCCTGAACTGTCAGATTCAGTGGTCCTATGCAGGAATGGGGTTTTTTTTCAGTTACACCACCTGAAACAGGGGATAGAGATTTGTATCATCTTCAAGCATGTTTGCGAGGTAGGTTACAGCTGATATAACTCTGTGCCAGGGTAAATACTCTGTTTCGCTTCTTAGGTATTTTGTGAGCTCCAGAGGAACAGAATAATTCACAAGTCCAGGTCTGTGGAAGGAGAAAACAGAACTTCTGTTATTTTAATGAATTTGAAGAACTTACTTCTTCAAAGATATTTGATTTAAAATTTACTTTAGAAGGCCTGGAATAGTAAAGTTTGTGAGGGGGAAAGTAGTCTGGAATGTACCTTGGAAGGTTTTTTTCAAAGATACCACTGAGAATCACTGTTGATCAATGCCTACTTGTAGGAGTCCTCACTGTTGTGAGGAGACTGGTCACATTGTGCAGCAGCCCCATGTGCCCAGAAGTGGGTAGCCCCTAACTGACTACCTTAACATCACAGAAAAAGGAATTGCTAGCTGGAGACATCCTGAAAGGCAGAGAAAACTTAGACAGAGGCTGTTACAGAATGTCACCTAAAATGTATCTGTGTCAGCATGGCTGGGTATAAGAGCTAGAAGTTTCCAATCTAGTTTCTAAACAAGATAGCTGAGGTGGTAGCTACTTAATGCCTTGGTATGCATGCCTCTGGCTTTCTGGACACCTAACATTTTCCAGAGTATTTCTGTTATTGTAACATGGAGGAAACACCTTTTTCTAAGAACTGCCATTAAAGCCTCCTTTTTTTCTTGACACTGAACTGAAAAGGAGCATTTCTCTTGACTGCATTGGTAGTGCAAGTTGCCAATACATACCTGAATTCACCACTTTGGGAGGACAAGATAAGCCAAAAAATAAATAAGACTTGTAACAAATTCAGAAAATTTCTTTCAGCCACCTGAGTTGAGTTGATTCTAATTATTAGGCTATATAGAAAGTGAAAAACATGTGTTGAAATCACTGCAGGGAATTCATTTACCTTGCTAAAGAAAAGGCATCATCCAAAATCCCTGCACGATCAGCAGTTGTAAAACTCTGTGTGAAAAGAAGAAAAGAGGGATTATTTGCAGAAAAACCCAAGCCTCTACAGACCTCTTATAAGAGACCCACTGGACAGGTTAATGTTATGACACTCACTTTGTGGTTTTCCCTCAGAAGAGTGCTTAACCTCTCCCACTTCTGACCATCATAATTCACCCGATAGAATCCAATGTGGTCTGGATTAATGTTCACAAAAGTATTAGGAGAATCTTCTATTTTAATTCCTACAAAACAAACAAACAATGATTGGTTTGTGCATCTTGTATGACATAGAACTCACTGGAGATTCCTGGACTCTGAAAGAATTATTTGGTTTTAATGAATATCAAAATAAGGTCCAAACCTTAATATTATTGATTTATTTTTAAATGCCTGTGAATAAAGATGAATTATTATAGACTTTAAGGAATGCCAGTACTTGTCTTAGAACAGCTAATTGTGGTAATTACTTGGGTCAGCTAGTTTGTTAATTTTAAAATAAAGAGCATTGTGTCTAGGGTGAGGATGGTGAGACTTAGTGTCATTGTAAAAAGTCAAAAATGGCAAAGAAACTTCTTGCAAATATATTTTTAAAAAGTTATTCAACCTCATGTTTACTATTAAAGTTCTCATATTTTGTCCTTGACAGGTTTAATTTTTCAGTCTGTTTCAACTAACTTTTTAAGGTTTTTCTTCTCTGATTCATTTTTTTGAATTGCAATTCCCTATAGATAGAGGAATTACAAAATAGGTTGAGACTTTCCTCAAGCACTCATGTTTAAGGATTTTCCCATTTAAAATGACCACTTGAAAAATGTTCCTTTCTCAGAAGCTTTGTCTGCTCCCGTTGGTGATGCTCATTATGAAAGTTTTTCTGCTGCCCATTGAAAGCAGTGGTCTTCAATCTGTGCTTTGAGTGTGGCTGTAGTTCAAAGTACATTTCTGTTTAGATGATCCATACAAAGTATTTCTAAAGGCATTTTTTCCCCTTCAGTTCCTGTTTGCCCTACTAGCCAAGAATTTTATGGATGCAGAAGCAAGTGCCTAATCATACCTTTGCAGGGTTTGTCAAGTTAATAGCCCCTTACAGCCCATTGTAATGTCATGTGGAAATTAGACAAAGAATATTTCTTTCCGTTGACCTCTGATTTGTATCAAGACTTTGTTTGCTTTTGCATGGATATTAAAAGCAACCGGGTGAAAAAACCCCACAGAACTAAAGACAAATTACATTTTAAATAGATAACATCCAAACAGGTACAAGAAAAGAAGAGCTGATTGTGATATTTCTAAAATTCCAACATGTGATGTTATTTAAAAACTGAAAAAATTACTCATTTTCCCCCCCATTTTTTACTATTTTTGTCCACTAGAGTTACAGAATAAGAAATCAAATTTGACTGCATAATAGAACAATGATCAAAAATACCCTTGTAGGTATTTTCTCAGTCCTCAAATCATCATTAATTTGCAGCTCTTTTTCTTTAACTGAACACAGATTGCCAGTTTACCATGCCACAGATGCATTCATCAGCCTCCCACTTCACCTCTTTTCTTAAACTTGAGAAAGGGCATATCTAAGTCCCATTGATTTTAGCACATCACAATTAAGAGTATGCTTAGATGCTTCCATGAATAGGACTGTATTTAAGCACATGCTTAAGCACTAAATTGAACTGAGCCTAACTTGACAATGTTTTATAGGGTAAATAATAGGCTTATCACAGAAATTATTATTAACTTCAGTCTGACCAAGCCGTGTGCTGGTTCCTGGATTTGAAAACTGAAAAATATGAAAGTTAATTCCGTGTTTTATTTCTTGTAAAGGACACTGAAAAGTTTCATCCATTCATTATCCTTAAAAGGGAAGAGGAAGTTTACCTGTAGAATCTGATGCATTGTAGAAAGTATAATTTGCTGAATTCTCAATTCTCCATTTGACTGGTATATTCCATTTGTAACTGAAATTATTAAACAGGAAAGAAAATCAAATGGCATTTGAAACCAAATGGTAAAAAACCTGCTCTAATATGTTGTTTGTTTGTTTTAATGCTTTTATCTTGTTTTATGAAGTCAACTTGTGCTTATGCACATATACATTTACTAAATACCCCTTGTAACAAAACACAGTTTTAGCAATAGCTGTTGTTTATGTTGTAAAGATTTTTCTGTGCTATGATACCCTCTGTTCAGGCAGCAAAATGTCAGATATTGGCATGGTATGACTGGGGCAGTTATAATTCCTGAAAATCAAAATAAAAAGCACGAAGTGTCCGAGCATGTCACTAGAGATGGGGAATAGCAGTAACTGGTCTTAATACTTTGTATTTATCAACTGATGCAGGGAAGTAGAGCAAGATTTTGTCCAGTGTCCAATGTTGACATGTTAATACAGTAATGTGTTAATTATATGCCTGAAATTAAGTCTGATTAGGTTGTTGTTTTTCTTGTTTTGTTGGGGTTTTTTAAACTGATGGAACTGCTGGGACAATGCCCCTCTGAATCCAATCCTCACCTCTTGGTGACTCCATATACTGGAGAGGGTATTACTCATAATCAGCGAGAGATCGTGTCAATGAATTTCCATTGTGCTGTACTGTGTAGCTTATTATGACAGCTCTGGAACATGCTGCCCTAGTAAGCAGTATCTTTGTGTCATGCCAGGCTATCAGGACACAAAGCAGTTAATTTAGTAAATGAAGAGTATATGTGAATGATTGGTGTCAGTGTTAATGTTGATGTGTGTAGGGCTTTGTGCAGACACTAGTTAATATTGCGACGCTCACTTGAAATAAATGGTTAGGTATTATGAAACTTTTCACAGATGGAAAAAGTGAAAGAGTTTAGGCAAATACTATGACATAGTTAGTAGGACCTTTTGCCTTTCACTTGAAATAAATGGTTAGGTATTATGTGGAAGAGTTTAGGCGACCACTATGATATAGTTAGTAGGACCTTTTGCCTTCTCCAGCCTATTTTCCTTCTCCAAGGTGCCCCTAATTCCTCCAGTATAAACCACTGGGAGCCAAACGCGACCTTACCTCTTGCTCTTCAATTCCTTGAATCTTTATTTTTATTTTATTTTATTGGGTATGTGCATGCCCAGGATGAAGCTGAGAAATTTGGGCAGGAACAGAGCCTCAGCACAGCCTGACCAAGACTATGACCAGGCAGTCAGGGAAATAGGACAGCAGAGCATGCTGTGTGCATACCTGCACAGCCACCTGCATAGGGCTGCTAAAATTATTAAGCCCTTTTGAGCAGTCACATGCTGTGCCATGTTAGTATTATACTTAATCCCAGGGAGACTTTTCTTCCATCTTAAACCCTTTGGTGCCAAGTGCTATGGGAAAATTTAAGTCATCTTTAAAACCCTGGGTTAAGTGAATGGTCATTAACTTTCAGAAAATACAAAAATGAAGGTTATAGTATCTCCTGCTGCCTCCAGAAAGAAATAAATTTTGTTTTGCATCTTCTAAACAAAATATCTTAACAGATTTATACACTTCTAGGTTTTATTAGTTCTCTTATGGAGTTTACTGCGATGGAATTTAGAGAGGTTATTGTTTGGCCAGAAGTCCAGTATTGTATTTCCCCAAGAGAAAGACAACATATGATATTTTTTTTTAGAAACCCACTTTTAAAAAAGCATTTAATGAGGAGGATTTTATTTAGTTTTCTTTATATGTTCCTGAGATAACATACATAAGTACTTTTCAGATACAATAGCTGTGTCCTGTTAACTGTGCATATTGAGCATGTGTTCCTAGCATGTTGTGCTGTACCTACATATTTGCCCAGCAGCACTACTTTAAGAGCACAAGTTTCTGAGCTTCCATTTCTTTTGAGTGTCAGCATGCAGGACAACAGCTCAGGAGACTATTCCTGCAGGGTTCAGAGAATAAAACATACATGAGACCTGGAGTTTTCACTGCTTGAATCAAAACCTTGCACATGAAATAGGCCAGTCCCATCTGGAGTAGGATCTCTGTAAGAGTTTCCCATCCCCATCTGTGAAGGTGGAAGGAGGAGGTATTGATTTTCAGTGAACTGACTTACAGGCACGGGAGTAAGTCTGTTCCAGAAGAGATAATGTCAGCATTATAATATATATTATGGCATTTTATTTTTAAGCCATTTATTAAAACTACATATTCAGAAGCAAATTGCCCTCTCACTTTGGGAATAGCAGGGGCAGTACTAGGACTTCTACTTGAGAAAAGACAAATTACAGTGTACTGTAAACAATAAAGTCAAGCAAAAGTAGAATTCCTGAGTCCACCACCTCAGCGCGTAGTGCAGTAAGTCAGAATTTTTAACACAAAGAAGTATTTTTGCCTGGATAGTCTGTAATGCCACTCTTCAGATGGCACAGTGCACTACTTTGCGTCTATGAAATTTTCTGCTTAGGTTGGGAGAAATGCAATGTTGCAAATACACAGACAGTTATCCCAACTCTTTTGATACCTAGCCAAAACTGCCAATAGCATGGGTCTTCTCATTGCTCAAATTTTTTCCATTTTGATTAGAAGGAAATGGAATGGTCACAACTGTTTCTTCTGTTTTTCTTTGTTCTTGCCCTTTGTATTAAAAAGAGCTAGAAGAAGGTAATGGAAAAATGCATTTGGGTAGATTTAGTTCTGGTTCATACTGGCAAGTTTTACTGATTTAATTGATTGGTCTAGTTCAAGGAACAAAACCTTCTTAGTATGGATTAATGTGAATGTCTTTCACTGAAATGTTAGCAAAGTTGTACTGCCTCAAAACTGGGGCTGGCTAAGAAATTATACAATGCAAAGTTATTCATCTGATTAATGTCATGGTGCAGCTGAATCAATTTTCTGTGCAGGTCCACCAACCCACAGGTGGAGTTCATCTCCCTTCATGTTAGCAATTTGTTATTTAACAAGTATGCTCCAATACAGTATTGCACCTGTCTTGAATAGGGTAGATGGCTGCAGATGGCTGTCTGACCACATAAGAGCTCCAGATGGCTAACTTTGACTAGGTAACTGTCTTTTAAACGGGTAAAATTAAGCAATACTATACCAAATAAAACAAGAAAAAACAGCTCTTGATGAGGATAAATGGCATTTATGCATGACCAACTACTTCACAGTAATTCACAATTTTAAGACATACATAGAAGACCCTGTATTGTATGTGAAGGCCCTGTGATGTATTATAGGAAAAGGAATAAACTACTGTGGTATAAACTACTTGGATCATGATATCTAATTTCCAGGCAGAGACAATCTTGTGTCAGTTTTCTTAGTCTAAAAAACTGTAATTTGGAGTGATTCAACAGATGACTTGCAATCATCTGAGCTATCTGTGTGTGGAAATAAGATTTTCTGAGGGTTCCTGTCCAATTTTACTCTACTGTGTTTGAGAAAGAAATCCTGAGACAAAGGGCCGATGGCCTAAATTTGAAATATTTTTATCTAACTTACTCCTGGCTTGCTTCTAAAAACAAACATGGAGAGTAAGTTTAACAAGAATGGATAAAACACTACCTACGTGTATGTCAGATGAAGAGGGTATAGGTTCAGTATTTCTGCCTGTTTTGAATAGACATTTACAGCAGGAACTTACCCAAGATTAGATGGAGGATAAGCAGGATTTGCACTGGGATCCAAGAGAAAACGTTTCTGTGTGAGTACTGAATTACTTCCCATCTCCAAAACAGGGTAGCCCATCTGCCTAGTCCATGTGTCCATGACTTCCTTCACAGGCTTATTACTTGCCTATGAATGATGGAAGAAGGTTGTAGTGAAAATGCAAATTCAGTCCAAAGAGGAAAAAAAATAAAATCTCTGGCATTGCAAAAAAGAAGAGCAGAAAGAGGTACAGGAAAGAGCGGATTCACTACAAAAAATACTCCATTAAATCCTTTTGTGGTGCCTGTCATTGAAAGAAGAAATTAGTTGGAAACTTGAACATAGATGGAAGATATGAAAAGCATGTGGGAAGGAGAGTGGCCAGTAAAATGGACAAGAAATACTAGGGAACCTTTGAGGCCCCTTGCATGGTCTAAGGGAAAAGTTAAACTGGACAGAAAGGACACAGAGAGACTTTTCAAAGCCAGAAGTCTCCTTGCAATGTGTCCTGTTTTGAGTGTGAAGGAAGTGCCAGTATTAACCACCAGGAGCTGCACTAATGTAAAATTTGATCCATTTCATTCATTCTGCAGACCGTGAACCTCTGTCCTAGGAACAGGAGCTGGAGAAAGCTGCCACTGCCTCCCCAGGATGCC